CCCTTCTGCGAGTCACGTCCCCACGTGTCGTATCGGCACTCGCTCCGTACCTTCCAACGCCACAGGAAGAGGTATGTCGTACCCAACCGCCGTCTCTCTGGGTCCCACAAGCTTTCTCGCGTGGTACGATTCGGACCCTCGTGAGAGAACATATACTAACCAGGCTGCCGAGTCACTTCTCATCTCCTCTCCGGCTCTTGATCTGTAGAGCTCTAACCCCTCCGACGCACCCTATCTCTGGATGTTGCCGACTCTTCAGACAACTCTACCACTCAGATCCCGTACGGTTGAGTAGGTGCTATGCACTCTCCCGTCGGCTCCATGATAGTAGATAGTAAACTCAGTGAACCTCTGGCCTCTCCATATCTCCAGGGCTTGCTCCGTCATGAGTCTAACTTGTCGCTCAACAATGTCTAACGCTTCTTCCTCCCAACCTCCTGTCCTATCCCGTTGCAGGGAAAGAGTCACCCTGAGTATATCCTGATCCGCCATACTCTCCACTACTCGCCGATATCAGTGACCAAAGCTGACTCCTCCTACGCCAGGACTGCTACTCCTATCCTGGGGAAATGGGCGTCCGAAGCGTCTGGCTCCTCCTCGACAATCTCATCCTCCGGGTCAATCCAGTCCGGCTCCCAGACGTTCTCGTCGTCCTCTCGCTCCCATCCTCCGTCGTCAAACTCGTCCTCGACGCGGTATGGGGTTTGTCCAATACCTTGGTAGTATTGCGCCAACTGGTGTCTGTATATCAGAGGTCTCTCGGCGTCCTCAGCCCACCAGCTCTCCTCGTCGTCTGAGAAAAGCCGCCCGATGCAGGTCACGTACTCGGGTCCTGCTCGGAGCTCTCGGTCTAGCCAATCCCAAACGCACGGCGACTGGGGYCACTCGTCGTCTATCGAGCGGATCAGCTCTATAAGCTGAACCCTCTCGTCTCCCCAGCGAAGTCCTCCGGTCGCGAGTGAATAATAGATGTAGGTTAAATCTGTAGTGCTTCTCGCCAGGATCTTGAGATCCTGATAGGCCAGGTATGTCTCCACCACTCCTCCAATGCCTCCAAAGACACTCTCTACCACGAACGCCGGTACTATCGCTTTCAGGCTCCTAACGTTGTACGGGAAAAACCCGTCCCGTGCTATCGCCAGCCCGCCCGAGATATCAAGAGGAGGGCGCCCGTGAAATAGAGTCAACGGGTCGCGCGAGTCCTCCGCTCGGAAGGCAGCTATCTCCTCCTCTAGGTACCGTAACGCTCTGCTAACCGTCCCACTAGTCCCTGTCGTCACGAGGCCCACTACAGCCTCCCTGATCGCAGCTGGCCCTAAATACAGGTAGGCCCTCACTACGCCTACCCCTTGCGCCGCCTGGTGCTCTCTATACGTCCACAGCCACGCGTCCTCCGACAAGACTATGGACCTCCACGCGAATTGTCCGTCAAAGTGCCGACTACCACGTCCGGGAATCGTGAACTCGACCAGATCTCCCTCTATGAGTTCCGGGGGCTCCAAGTCCCAGTCAATAGTAGCCCCATAAAACTCTACTTGCTCCTGCGGCCACATTCAACTGGCGGCCTGTCAGTTGCCTCACACCTCCGGGAGCAAGTTAGGAAGTTTTCCCAAAACCAGGTTACGACAATGCCCTTCTCGCTGCCTCTTTAGGCAATTCTTTGTATTTTTTTGATTATTAATTAAAAAAAAATGTATTTAGTTAAGATTAAATCCCTCTCTTATTTTTCACCCCTCGTGGATAACCATATTTGTAAGCCTGCCGAGTTTGATGCTTTTTAGGGGAAAAATAAAATTTTAACAATTTTTCAAAAAATTTCTGCAGCGTTTCGCCTCCCCCCGTTGGGATCGGGCTCGGGACTATTGTCCCTAGGCAAACGTTACCTTCCTAGAACTGAAATCAAGATTTTGCTACCGGCAACACTTCGGCTCCCCCCTGTCAAGGTAGGGGTTGGCCGAAGATCTCAAAAAGTAGCCGCCGCAAGAATTCGGTAAAAGGGATAATAACAAAAAGGAAATATAAATTTTCGAGTATTTTCTTTAATTGTTTAAGATTTAATTGGACAAAATTCAGTAAATTGCCGAGAAATTTCGGCAGCACTTCGCCTCCCCCCGTGGGGATGGGGTGTGGCCGAAGGCCTCAAAAATGCCTGCCGCAAGGTATAGCAAAAGGAAAGTTTTCCAAAAAGAAATATAAAATTTCCGGGTATTTTCCTTAATTATTCAAAATTTAATTGTATAAAATATAGCAAATAGCTGAGAAATTTTGGTAGCACTTCGCCTCCCCCTGTGGGGATGGGGTGCGGCCGAAGGCCTCCCAAATCACAAAGTCGAAATAAAGCCGGTTCCCCTTTCTTGAAGAATTTTTATATTTTTACTTCGATTTCTTTATTGATTTTAAACGACAAATTATTACTTAAAGCAAAATTAGATTATTTTATACAACAAAATTCCCAATATTGATTAATTTCTATTTGATTGACGGGATTTATACAGAATTTTCCCCTCGCCGGTCGGTTAGAAGGACTTATATCCGCCCGGCGACGCACCGCGTTTCCCTATCTTAGGGTTAGGGTTTATCCTAATTAGGGTTTCCCCCGATTAGGGTTTTGCTGATTTGCGCGCGACCGCACGCCACCTCGTCCGACTTCTCGAGGCTGAAAATTTTCCGCCAGTTCGTAGTCGATTGAAAGTTGGGTTCCAACGGATCACCTTTGTAAACTTCCTTTTCCTTTTTATTTTACAAAATTACAAAGAAAATTACTAATTCTCCCTAATTTCCCGCTACTTTCCCGTCTGTTGGCGGTCACCACTCGTCCAAACGG